TCCCTTTCACCTCCAAGATCCAACATAAAATACTCTATTTGATGTTCAAAGCCCTTCATAACCTAGGTCTCCCCTTCCCCACTTTTTCAGTTTTCTTACACTTCTCCCTGCCATGTCCTCTTTGATCCAGTGACACTGGCCTCCTTATTGTTCCATGAACAAAACACTTTGGGCATTTTCTCTGGCTTCCCTCCATGCTTGGAATTCTCTCCCTACTCATCTCCACCTACTAGTTTCTCTGGCTTCCTTCACGTCCCAACTAAAATCCCAACTTCTAAGGAAACCTTTGCCAGTCCCTCTTAATTAGTGCCTTTCTGTCTCCTAATTATCTATTGTTTATCCTAAATGTAGTTTGTTTGTACATATCCATTTCCTTATCATTTCCTTCATTATTAATGATTGTGAGTTTTTTGAAGGCAGGGTCTCTTTTTTGCCTATTTTCGAATCCCCAGCTCTTAGTACAGTGCTTGGCACATAGCAGGGACTAACAAATGTTTATTCGCTATGTCTGCGTTTTGCATAGCTGCTACTAGGGAAACAGTTGTGCCTATTTAATGGAGGAGGCTTGTTTCAATTATAGAAAACTGAGCAAAAATACATTATTGATTCACTTCTACTTCTTTTTTCCTATAATGTATGATTATTTATTTAGAAAGTTGAGGGGCACTAGGTGGCACAGTGGACGGAGTTTCAGCCTTGGAGTCAGGAGGACTTGAGTTCAAATCTGGCCTCAGACACTTGACACTTACTAGCTGTGTGACCCTGGGCAAGTCACTTAACCCTGATTGCCTACCCTCCCCCCAAAAAAAAGAAAGTTGAGGAGTGGTTGAAAGACAGGACTTCAAAAGTGTACCCTCAAGAGAAGACAGGGAAGATATTATAGTTTTCTCACATGCTTTGAAAATCTGTCTTGTGGAAGAAGAATTGGGCTTGTTCTGTGTGGTTAGCTTGAATAGGTAGAAGTTTGAAGGAAAGAGATTGTGTCTTAATATAAGGAAGAAACCTCTTACAATTAAATCAGTTTGGAAAATGGAATGGGCTGGCATATCATCTATAATCCTGTTATTACCATAAGCTTTTGCAAGACAGTAACTTTTATTCATCTTTGCATTAAAGCCTAGTAATAGCTTCCTTATACATTGTAGTTTCCCAGTATGTATTTGTTTTCATGAATGTTGTTACATAATATAGCATGCCAATTAATCTAAATATCTGAATCAGGAAAATCTTTGTGGTTTTTTTTTTCTGATTTCAACTTTGTTTCAGTTTTATCAGGAGTTTCAATTAATTCTTTTTTTTTCCTGAGATATACTAAATGTATGAATTATGCTATATTCATGTTCATAACTTTATCCATTTAAGCCTATCACTGATCCTTCTAAGAATCTAAATGTATTTTCCACAAACTCTTTTTAATATTGCTACTTGCAAAATTTAGTCTCATAGTCTCTTTTCATTACTCATGACTGTTTCAGTGCTTTGCACAAAGTAGGAGCTTAGTAATGTTTGTTGAATTGAAATAAAGCAAGCAATAGCTTTTTAAAGGAAGTTATTCCATAATTTATTTTCTCTGCTAAATACTTATGGTTTTTACAGTGTTTGAAATGAGAAAAATCTGTAACTGATTAATGAGAAGGTAGAGTAGATGATTAATTAATTCTTACAACCACAACAATCAAAAAAAAATTTATTAGGCACCTGCTGTCTGCCAGGAACTGAGCTAGGAGGTACAAATGCATTAGCTTTATTACTCTCTATTATCTTATATTACAAAAGGAGTAAATAATTCAGTGGGGTGTGTATGCTATAAATTTAGGATAGAAATTTTGTTTATGGTGAAATAAAATTAAATTTGATCATGCTATTTATTTTTAACAGATAATAAAATAATCATAGAATGCTTATAACTGTAAGAGGTGTTGGGGGTTCATTTGTCTCAATCTTCTTATTCTTTATATGAGGAAATGGAGATGTCCCCAGAGTGGTTTTAGTGACTTGTTTTCAGAATCACATTTTGAGTGAAAGGCAGAGCTGGGCCTAGAACTTTGGTCTCCTGATGCCTACTTCACATTTTTTTCCACTACAAATCTTAATGTAAGTCCTGTTCTCTTTTGAAGGACTTTATTTGTGGGATAGACTTTTTCCACATTGTGACTTTTACTGGAAAAAAACCCCAGCATCAGTGACAAGGACATCATTTAATGAAAACCATCTTTAGGATTTGGCTTTCACCAGTTGCTAAAACCTCCTAATCATGTTTATTCTGCATCATTTACATTCATCTTTATTGAAAAGCTCAAACATTTGTTAGAGAAAAAATAGGCTTGCGACTTAACCCAGGCCATTGCTTAATTTTCTTTGAGAAAACAACACACACATTGTCAACACTTTCTGGGCAATTCTCCAGTGTTGCAGCATATTAAGAGCCTCACATTTAAGTAACGAGTTTCAGGAAAAAAGAAAACTCTAGAGGTTTCTGGAAATTTTTTTCCCATTAGAGTCTAAATTTTCATAAACTAGCTGTATTTCCCTTACCTTAATATGTGGTACTGTGGGTTTATTTAGGTATTCTTTACTCACTTCAACTTAATTGAATTTCTATGCTTATGAAAGTAGGATGGTGGTGATGGAACAAAGGGAGGAGACAAATCGCATAATGAAATGAATTTTTTTTAGTAAACAGTCTACATTGATTGAGTAGCATAGGTGGTACAGTGAACTGTAATGCTTGACCTTTTATTCCTACATTATATTTCACTCAATTTAGAAGACATGACTACTTATACCTAGATATTGGGGAGCCATCACCTTTATGGGCCTCAGTTTCTTTATCTTTAAAATAAAGGAGTTGAATTAGATAGGTGCTTCTAAGATTTTCTGAAGTGGTGGAGTCCTTAATTTTAAAGTCATATTTTATAACGAATATTTATTAAGTACTTACTATGTTCAAAGCAAAATTTTAGCAAATCTCTTACAATCTCACCCTTAAAAATTATTTCAGAAGCATGCCTACTTTTAAAGTGAAATAACAGTAAACCATAAGATTTTTATTTCTTAAATTATTTTTATTTTGTTAAACATTTTTATACTAGCCATATTGCAAAAGAAAACACAAAACAACAAAAAAATTTTTTTAGAAAGTGTATTTCAGTCTGCATTCAGAGTTTATCAGTTCTCTTTCTGGAGGTGGATAGCATTTTTCATTATGGGTCCTTTGGAACTATCTTGGATCATTGCCTTGATCAGAGTAGCTAGGTCTATCACAGTTGATCATCCTACAATATTGCTGTTACTGCATGCAATGTTCTCCTGTAAACCACAGGATTTTAGAGCTGAAAGGAGCCTTAGAGACTAATCCAAACTCCCCTTCCCATTTTATAAATGTAGAAAATGAGTCCTCAAGAGATGAAGTGATTTACACACCATCACACAAGCTTGATGTGGTAGGGCCAACAGTCAAATTCAGGTTCCAGGGTTATATAGCTGTTCTGGCTTGAAATTTAGTGCTTTCTACCCCGCCCCCTTCCCCCACACATAAGGCAGTTAAAAATATTTATTTCCAAATAATTTTTATTAGGAATCTAACAGTATTAGAAACAATTCCCATATATCTAATCTATTGGCGATGCTTTTGTTTGTTTTGACCTTCACCACATCTGTCTCCACCCTTACAGCCACCACTCTGGTTGAGACCCTCATCACCTCTTACTTGGACTATTGTCATAGTTGCAAGAGGTGCAAATTTGGAGAATCCATACCAAATGACTATTTGTGCCCGACCTGTGGCAGAACATTCCAAGCTTTTACTGGTCTGATCAGCCACAGTCAGACACACTGAAACTTGACTCTAGTGTAGTGATGTCATTTTGGTCCTCTTCAAGAAGGAAGGACAAGCAACTAACCATTATTGTCTAAATGGCCTGCTGTTTCAAATGTCCCATACTGGTAGTCCACCCCCGACTCACCTTCCAAAGGGATTTTTCCACTGTATAAGCCTGACCATCTCACTGTCTTGCCGACCCACTCCCAACCCCTGTTAAACCTCAGTGTGTACCTCTTACCTCCAGGGTGCTCTGTTTCCCATGCCTCTTGTGTCTACTCCTGCTACCTCTACCTGCTCTCCCACCTCACCTCCACCCTTTAGCTCCCTTAGCTTTTTTCTAGATCCAAGTTAGGCACCACCTTCTGCAAGAGATTTTTTCCTAGTCCCTTTCTTTGTCTCTACCTACTTGGCTGCATCTGTCTCCCTTTTTAGAATGTAAGCTCCAAGGAAAGGTAGGTGGCGCAGTAGAGAGAGCACCGGCTCTGAAGTCAGGAGGACCCAAATTCAAATGCGGCCTCAGACCAAACACTTGACACTTACTAACTGTGTGACCCTGGGCAAGTCACTTAACCCCAATTGCCTAAGAATAAAATAAAAAAATTAGAATGTAAGCTCCTTGAGGGAGTTACTGTTTTTGCTTTTCTCACAGTGCCTGGTACATAGTAAATGCTTAATAAATGCTTCTTGACTTGGTGGTAATGACAGCATTGTAAATAGAATGCTGGACTTGAAGTGAGGAAGCCTTGGAATTGAATCTCACATGGGACAGTCATTTAATCTGTTTGGGCTTCAGTTTCCTTAGCCATCAAATGGGAATAATAATATTTGATATATGAAATGGGGATAATAAGCCTTTAACCTCACAGGGTTGTTGTGAGACTCAGATGAGATAATATGCTAAAACACTATATAAATGTCAGATATTATTACTGCTGCTTTCAATTTACAGATTTGTACAGAGGGTGAACAAAAAGCTTTGTAAATTGTTCACAGAATGCATGCCGTTTCATTCCTATGGAAGGTGCTATAGGCAATGCAGGTTGCCATACACGTGAAAATACTACTTTTTTGAAAAGAACTATTTTTCTTTAACTAGGAAAGTATGCCAAATAAGAAAAGGTTATATCAATTATTGTTGCAAACTCACCAATACAAATTTATTTTCTTTTTCTTTTAGATCTCTCCAAGAACAGATTGGTTGAAGTTCCCATGGAATTGTGCCATTTTGTATCTCTAGAGATACTAAATCTGTATCACAATTGTATCAAAGTTATTCCAGAGGCCATTGTCAACTTGCAGATGCTAACCTACTTAAATCTGAGGTAGGTTAACTGAACAGACTTTTAAGGAAAAAAAAGGCAGATTGGTATTTTTTAAATAAAGTAATAGTCATGCTTTAATTTCCCACTTTTTGGTTTTTAAATCTGATAAGGCTGTTAATATTGTTTTAGGCTTACCTGAACATAGCCATGAGTGCTTTGTTTCTGTTTTTTTGTTTTAAATGATATTATCCAGACTTTTCTTCCTTCATATTTGTGGTCTTTATGCTGGATGGCTTATAGTATTTATAGAGGGGATTACTATGTTTATTCATCTTGCCACAGTCCCTCATATTCCTCCCTACCCAAAAATATGTAAAGATCTGGTGTACAGTTGGATGAACAACCTCTAGAGCTTAGTGATCTGTGTGTGTGTGTGTGTGTGTGTGTGTGTGTGTGTGTGTGTGTGTGTGTGTGTGTCCTGGATGGACACTGTAAATGGACACACACCAAGTTGAGCCCAAAATTGAATTGGAGGAGGAAAGAACAGTGGATTTCATGGGGAAATTGCAAATTTCTTCTCAGTTTTCTTTGCAGTCACTGATTTGGGAAAACTAAAAATACTAATACTTAAACTGGAGAAGCCAGCCCTGCTAAAAATCTAGCCTCAGAGTCAGGGAGGAAGAGAGCCAAGTGTAGAGGAAGAATTCAGTTCTTGAGAAAAGTTTTCTCTTTGCCTTTTCCCTTACCTCTTTTGAGGTTTTTAAAAGTGTTCTAAAGCTTTCCTTTATGATATGTGTTAGCCTTTCGTCTCATGCTGGCATTTAGCCTTAGATAGAATTTATTGCATGTTTTGGGCTATATTCCCAAGTAATCTCACTGAGCAGACCTAATCCTGGCATGGCCAGGGCTGCTACTGGCCTCAGTTGATATACATAGACACTTTTCAACATTTTAGAACCCATCTAGGCTTTCCCTCCCAACTCAGCCTTGGGAAACAACTATTCCAGGTTCAAGTACCGTGAGTCTGCATTACTAAAACCCTGACTCATGGGCTCCCACATATGTGTTTGCTTTTTTTTTTTTAACAAGTCAGAGGACATAGCTGTCTCAAAACAGAGACATTTAGTTAAAAAAAACCCTTCGTTTTGTAAGACTAGTAGCAGCTTAAGATTCTCCTATTAAACTGGGACATGTTCTTCCCAAAGATACATCTTAGTGGAGAGAGTGGGCACAGAGTTCACAAGCTGACAGACATTTACACAGGTAAAACATGTGGCTGAGGCATGTGCAAGAAGGGCCAATTCATGCCTCTGTTGTTGGTAGGGCTTCAGGGCCACTGGTGTCTATGAACACCTACTTTTAGTCTTGCCACCTCCGTTAGAAGGAGCTCTCCTGGCCCCTGCCACTACTGCACAATTAGATCTTGTTTCACCATTTGACTCCCTTGTACTTAGCTGCTGCTATACACTTTTGAAAAGAATAAGAACCCTGTACACACTAGGATCAGGAGGAACCTCTCCAGTTTCATTCCCCTAGAGCAGAGGTTCCCAAACTTATTTGACCTACCATATCCTTTAAAAAAAATTACTCCATGCCCTGCCCCCCAAATCTACTTTAATATTTTTGAAATTTGCATAATTTCAAAAATATATGTATATTTTAAAAAGTGATGCATCTTAAATTTAATAATTTATTGTAAATTTATGGGGGGTTTTTGCCTTGAAATTTTGATGATGCAATATTGCATCATGTAACTGTATGGTATCTATTGTAAACTAGTCATTACATGCACATATTCCTGCCTATGCATGCTGGACTTCCCCACAATGCAAGAGAGGCTTGCCTGCCGACACTTGCTTGTTAAGACCTTTTGGTAGATTTGCCCACTGATTCATTATATCTTGCTTTTTGTATCTTTATTTGGAAAATAATGTAATCACTATAATTGTAATTCTGTTGCACAACAAATGAAACATGTACAAACAGTTTTTCAAAATTTTCTTCTCTTCCTTCCTTATGCTTCTACTCACCCATTATTTTAAAATACATACATATATACATGTGTGTGTATATATATATATATACATATATATATGTATATATATATATACATACATATATACATGTGTGTGTGTATATATATATATATGTATATATATATATGTATATATATATATATGTATATATATATATATGTATATATATATATATATATAAAATATTTTTTGAAATGACAAATTTCAAAAAAAACTGTCAAAGGGTTAAGGAAAGTAGATTTCAGGAGAGTGCTGAGTAATTTTTTTTTAAGGGGGTGGTCAGCCAAATAAGCTTGGGAACCTCTGCCTTAGAGCTTCAGCTGTGAGTTTGTCTCCCAAGTAACAGGGTACTCTTCTGCTCTCTTATTTCAGTGACTACTTGACTCAGTGGTGTTAAAGTCAAATAGAAATGGGGCCACTAAACTGTACTCCTGTGGACTGCATATTGACTAAGTTTTAAAATGTCATGTTATCTGTGTTTTGTTGTCTTTTTATTTTGTTAAATATTTCCCAATTACATTTTAATCTGGTTCAGCAGCACTCAGGAGCAGGCTGTCAGTTTGACATCACTCTGCAGTGGTTCAGCCATGTGCATCTATTGAAAGATTTCATTGCTAGGGGGTAAAGGAAGGTGGGGGGGGAGGAAGAAGGAAAGAAAATTCCTCTCTCCTTTTTTGCACTCTTCAAGTGCATGGCAAAAGGAGAAGAACAAACTTTTGAGACCCAAGTTCTTCTACACCTGACTGTCTTATCTCTTCTTCCTCTACTGTACTCAGCTAGAATTGCTCTTTAAAGCTGGCTGTCTGAACCTTTGCAGCTCATTTCTTAGCATGCTTAGCCCCACCACATTTAAACTCTCAGTCCCTCCAGTTCACCTTCATAAGTGAGTGAGTGGAGAAAGGGGTAGTACTCCATTGTCTTTGCCAGTCCTCAGCTGAACTCCCTGGTCTTTTTATATGCATATGGACTATTTCAAGTCTGAAAGGGGGCGCTCCCTTACCTTTGCTTTCTCTATGATCGCTTCTTATACCCTGTCATTGGCTGATCAGAGGTCCATCTTATAACTTTCCCCCAATATAGTGAAAATGTCTAAAATTTCTTTGTAACAGACGATAAACTCTGTGGAAGAATTTATTTATATAAATTTGAATTGATCAAAGAAATGCTTCCTGCCTACTTTTGAGAGCCATTTGTGAAAGTCAATGAAATAATGTATATAAAGTATCACAATGTTTTGAAAGCTAGCTACTATCTGATATCAATTGATTCTGCATTCTATATTCTGATTTGCCTTCATTTGTCATAAGTAACAAAACAGATAATTTCTTGTTTGATAATTCTTTGTTTTTCCAAGTAGCTAGATCATTGGCTATTTAAATATTATGATAACTTGTTCTTGTGCAGTGTTGTGTAGAGTCTGCAGTGTGGTTTTATATAAATTATCTCATTTGATTCATAGAACAACTCCATGAGCTAGGCAGAGAAATTGTTTTCTGAATTTCTAAAGATGAGGCACCTGAAGGCCAGAGAGTGTAGGTGAGCGGCCCATAGTCATGTGACTGGCTGGTCTTAGAGCCAAGGTCATAATCTGGCTTTTCTGACTCTTGAGACAGAAGTGACTGAATAATTTTTAAGGAATTTAAAATTAACATTATGTGGCTGTAAACATAAAGATTTAATATTAAATATTCTTTCAAACTAAATTATCAGGGAGGTTGTGACATTGTGTCACATAGAAAGGCCAAGGCATTTAACTTTACTTAGACATTGGATTTAATTAAAATATGCCTCAATAATACAGGCTTTGAAATTTAGCATTTATTTAGCAATTATTATGAGCAAAGCACTGTGTTAAGCATAGGGGATACAAATAGAAAAGTAAGATGACCCCTGCTCATCTACTCATCTAATGGGGGAGACAACATATCTGGGGGTTTCAGTCACAAGTGAGTTGGAAAGGTTCCATGGCCCTTGGGATGCCAGGGCCAAACACATGTTTGTTTTTTTTTAACTATCATCTCCACTGATAAAATCCTATCAGTTTCTGATGTCAAAGTATTTGACAGTACCAAGGACTCTGGTGACAAGAACTTTCTTTTCTGGGTCTCAAGTAGCTGTGAGTGTAACACCTGCAGGAGCAAGTGTCAGGCTGCATCTCCACAAGGGCTGCTTCCCAGGGTGATTGCTGAGGCTGCTGTGCTGGAAGCATTGCCATTCCTCAGGCTCTTGGGTCCAGAGTCCTGGACTTTCCCCATCAGTATCTGAGGAAAAGATACTGGTCAAGGTGGTTGTGGTGATTTTTTTTGCCTGTCACATGCTACCTCCTATTTCTCCTTCAGGATTCCCAGAAAAAGCATTTATGTTTATGTTAGTCTTCTTTTCACCTTCCCTCTCCCCCTATATGCTTTGCTATCCAGTGACACTGGCCTCCTTGCTATTCCTCAAAAAGGACACTCCATCTCCCAACTCCAGGCATTTTCTCTGGTTCTTCCCTATGACACTGGCCTCCTTGCTATTCCTCAAAAAGGACACTCCATCTCCCAACTCCAGGCATTTTCTCTGGTTCTTCCCTATGCATGGAATACTCTTCACCTCTAATGCCGTGCTTCCCTCACTTCCTTCAAGTACTAGCTAAAATCCCACTTTCTGCAAACAAAAAAAAAAGTCTTTCGTGGTCCCTTTTAATTCTGGTGTCTTCCCTCTATTGATAATTTCCAGTCTACCCTGTATATTAGCTTATTTATATATAGCTATTTCTATGTTGTCTCTCCCATTAGATTGTGAGCTCCTTCAGGGTGGACCCTTCCTCTTGCCTCTTTTATTAATTTATTCATTTTGTCTTTAGGGCATAGCACAGAGTCTGGCACATAGCAGACACTTACAGATATTTATTGACTTTGATTAACTTGCTGCTTCAGCTAGGCTGGCTTGACTGCCTGCCATGTGAGTAGCAGTTGGTAAAGATGTCTGGTCCCTTTCTCCATAAGAGTTTCTTCCCCATGTGAGTACTCTGAAGGCAGATCT